AAAAAAAAAAAAAAAAAAAAAAATCTATACTACTTGTTGATAAAAACCACAGTCAGGGCAATGCCTTTAGAACTGCAGCCACACCATGTGTGCTAACGCAATGGTCACTTTTTGAGTAAGAACATCAGTAATTAGCCAAAAGGTCAGTTTTGTATTTAAAATGAAACCAATCTGAGGTGGTTTATGAAACGGATGAAAGATGCAAGGCAATCACTGAAACAGTAACGCCAATCCGTTAAGGAAATAGAGTGTGCTTGATGGCACCGACGGATCATCACACGTTCAGCTGCTGTGCCTGTCAACAGCCGTCAGCCGTGCAGACGTTCAAAGCAGCCCCTTGCCTTTACCTGAGTGGGGCCTGGTCACCGCACTCTCGTAGAGAGGGATTCCTTCACCGACGTTGTTGAACGCTTTCAGAGTTATGACATAGTGGGAGCTGGGGTCTAAAGGGAAAAAATACACTTCTTATTAGGGCAAGCTGTCAGCAAATCCTGTTTTCTGCTTCTCTGTATTCTCTTCATTCAGTATTTTATTTTTTAACTGAAATATGAAATATTTAGACTAAATTTGAATTGAATATGTCTCCATACAGACCTTCTGTTAGTGTTCAGTAGTTCTCATACAGTGTAAGTCTACAGTTACAGCAAATCTACCTTAAGTACAGTCAAAATGGTAGTGAAGAAAAACATTTCAAAATTAACATTTTAATTTGCTGCATTATAAAATTACTCAAAACTCCAATTTCATGGAACTTCTCAATAGTCTGCAATATTTATTTTTCTTTCAGGATACCTTACCTACTACAGAGAATTCTGTGGAGGGGGGAATCTATATTTTTCTTTTAAAGTAGATGCCACTGTATCTTGGTGACATTTCAGTTTCTGTTTTTGCCTGAAGCGACCTGTTCTGCAGCTCCAGAAGGAGAATAAGGAAATGCTGCTCAGCATGAAAGTTTTTGTAATAAGCGTTGAAGGGAAAGCATCAAATCAAAATGCACTATGCTCCAAACTTGGTGAATTTAGGATTCTGGGCTGGGGGGGGTGGTGTTGTTCCTCTGCCTCTTTCTCTATCATCAGAAAACTGAGTTTATTTGACATTTCTCAATGGTTTGGCATCCAGTATAGTATCTGAACAAGGAAAAAGATCCTCTTAAAAACACACATGTAGTTTTACTTATTTATAATACCATAATTAGAAAACAGTAACATAAATGAGAGGCAAAACTTGGGCACTGATCTTCATTCACTTTCCTCACCTAAATTTTCAATGGTGTAGTATCTCTGTTTATAGTCCACCTTGATGGTCTGCGCATGAGGACTGCCAATGCCGTACCCTATCGCATAGCCTCTCACCACGATGTTCTGGTTTTCAGGTGGAGTCCAGCTTACTACGATACTGGTTACCAGCGGACGGACGTGTAAGGAACTTGGAACTTCAGGAACACGAGATTCTGTTAAAGAAAAATGATGCACTTAAAGGACTTCTCTTAAATTCAGGTAATTCCATGAAGAGCTGGGAGCTAGGAAGGTCAAATGCAGCACTGACGCAGACGCTGCAAAGGAGCGAGCTTTATTGTACAAGAGAGAGCAAAGAACTCTAATAAGCAGAAGAAAATTAACATAGTTTTGTGTCCTAATATATTTTAATAGATCCTCTTCTGAAAAGAAAGGACAGTCGTACTGTCAGATCTGCTTCAAGGCAGACTTTTTTGATGTTTCTGCATGTTCCTTCCAATTTGCAATTTTTCAAAATATGCATTAAATTTATCACGTCCTTCTCTTTCTGTCCTGGGTTTGGCCAGAACAGGGTTAATTTTCACCGGAATCCAGGAAGGGGCACAGCCGGGGGGTGGGGGCTGACCCCACCTGGCCAAACAGAGCCCGGTATTCCATACCATGGGACGTCACGCTGGGTTCTGGTGGGGGGGGTGGCGCGGCGGGAACGCACTCGCGGCTTGCGGGGAGGGGCGCAGCGCCGGCCCTGTTTCGGGAGAGCGGCTGTCTGGGTCGTAAGGTTCGTTGTTGTGTTTTCTCCTTATTTGTATCGTTGTTGTTCCTGTTTCCCTCTGTTTGCTGTTCTGTTAAACTGCCCTTATCCCGACCCACCAGTTTCTACCTGTTTCTTTCCATTCTCCTCCGCACACCGGCGGGGGGAGGGGCGGCCGCGTGGCGCTTTTGTTGCCGGCAGCAGCCGGAACCAAAAACGGAGCCAAAGACACTTAACAGCCTTACT